CAGCAGTCCAAGACCGCTACAACCTCCTCAAGCCACTCCTAACTAATATTCAAAACGGAGATGAGAAGGACTACGGCCCTGGGCCATTGTCTAGCCGCATCGCAGCCTCCTTGGACCGCACAGGTATCAAGAAAGCAGACGTTCGTAAGATCCCAGAAGAGACAGTCAGCGGCTGGGCAACCGGGCCTATTGTCGACAGCTTCACCGGCACCATGATCGCTGGAGGCTCCGTCGACAGAGTCCCTGGCAACTATACCAAGGACGACAAGGGTCGCGAGATAGGTGATACACATGAGATGATCCATCCGTGCGTCAAGTATCGCATGAGCAAAGTTCCGAGCTACAAGCCCAAAGCCCTGCGTGGCTTCGAGAGGACTGCTGATGGAGGCAAGGGATATGTGTGGACAAAGGGCAATGTTAAGATCCCGGAATTTGTGATTAAGACGGGAGATGCTTTCTCGAGGCATGTTGCGGAGCAGGATCGTAGTGCTGGCGGAAATGCTCGGGATTTCCTCAAGTCGATTGATGCGGTAGTTGTCTGAGCTGTAGTTTGACTCCTTATATATCAATTTGTTGACCAGGTCAGGCAAGTGATCTTTGTAACAATCATACGCAGTTCTAGCACACTATTACTCTATGGCACTTATCAATAATATCAATAGAGTGCATGGAGCATGTCCCTGGGAAATTCGCAATGGCACCCGTGACTCTCTGGCGTATCAGAGGCTTCCACATCACAAATGAAGCCAGCACCAAGTTCACAGGCAAACTCACAGTGCCAGAGAGCTCTACTCACCGAGATTGAAGCGAATCGATTTATTAGTCTTTTGTCATAAAACATCAGTAGTGCAAGAACAAAGTGTCCCAAGTTCTGCCCAGGTAAGGAATATGCCATCTTGATATCAAACCTGGAAAATTGCAAGGGAATCACTCTGCGTCCCCTGAATACAATATGCGGTGTCCCTTTTCCCCGCTATGCGCCTCAAATGCAAGATAGGTAATTCGTCGTCCTCGAGGGTTTTATCTCCCACCTCCAAAGTCTCCCTGTCATTCTTGGTGTCAAAAATAGATACGTGATAACCAATCTGTAAAAATTACGCCGTTCTTGGACCGAAATTTCAAGTCAGATCTTGTTGCTAGGTAGGCCCTTCACCGATTCTGGAGCTTAGAGATCTCATCGAGGAGATCCTGAAGGTCCTGATCCGAAATCTTGTCGGCCAATGAAGGGATGAGTGTCTTGGCCTCGTCGGCTCCCTCACAGCACAGAGAACCTAAAGACAGCCTATTAGTATTTTCAAGAAATGTAAAATCCTTTAGTAAAGCCTGGAAATCGTACCCAGCTGTGCGCGCTCAAACTTGGCGAGGTTCTTATGTGCGCTAAGAAGGCGTTCCACAGCCTCTACGTTCTCCTTTTGAGTGAACCGCGCAAAGTTATCGAGGTAGGTCAATGTCGAGTTCAGCATCCTAGCAAGAGTCAGCCCTACCGCCCGCGATCTAACGGCCACGGGGGTTATTTACTCGGTATTGTTAACGTTCCTACGATCGTTCTTTCGTTTCGCGTGGAGGGCATTCAGAACCAGCGCAGCTTCGGAGAGCGTCAAGGTGTCGACATCTTGGAACTCGCCAAGGTTCAGAACTGCGGAAGCTTCCTCATTACCAGGAGCTGCGGGCTTGGGTCGAGAGGTGCGAGGGTGATTAACCTTCCTAGGCGCAGCAGCAGCTGGGATTTGTTGTTCATCCTCCATTGTGAGAGTAGTTGTATAGAATGCGCTGAAGCTGATTTTTCGATCGCGCAGTATTTCCGTGTCTGTACTCTATGCGCGGATGTTGGAGGAAAGTTGGCGAATGAGGGAGATTCGGATTCAGAGAAGTCGGGTGTGAATTATTGAAAGTTGAAAGACGAGCCTGGAAGAATTCAGAGATCGGAGGCTGAAAGGAAGAACAAGACAATGCAATGTACGTACCCCAGCTTAATTAGTGGGGCTCTCTTTTAGGCCAGGCACCTCCCTAAGCAGAGGTACTTGCTTTTGGTGATGGAGTCGCGTGGCGGTCCCGCTGAGAGCAGCTTGTCAATCTGTCAACCTCTAAGAACGAACAACGAGATAGGAAGCTCGATGGGCCCGTATAATCGACGAAATTCATGAGAATAATCGCTATAGACTGTAAGGGTTTCCTGAACAACCGCGACTGACACTAACTCTCTCATTCACAGCTCATCTCTCCCTCATCTCTCACCCTTGTTCATGGTCTCCCATTTGATATAGATGGTTTAGTGAGCTTCAGGGCAAGCTAAACAGACTATTCATAACCAGACAGAGACCGATCATACACGCACAAAAGGAATCATGTGAGGCCGAACACTAAACTATGATGAAGATATGTGCTAATGAGTCAGGACTGTCTTTGCTCTCATCGTCATCAACAAGGCCGGAGGTTTAGTTTACAACAAAAACTTCCACGAAGGCCTTCAACAAATCAGCACAAATGATTATCTAGTTCTCGCAGGAACATTTCACGGGTAGGTACCCCTTCAGTCTTCAAAAGCTGCCCAAATCTCTTCGCGGGCATGTCAGAACTCACATCAATCTCCAGTGTTCACGCCATTACATCTCGTCTCAATCCTGTCAAGAACCTACCAGGCGCAACACCGCCAGGAAACAGACCTGAGCCATCATCAGGCTTAGAGGTTCTTGAGACGGAAAACTTCCGCATGCAGTGCTTCAACACAATGACAGGGACAAAGTTCCTCCTCTTCACCGATACAACACAAGCAAATGTCGATGTCACTATCCGCAGGATCTATGACCTCTATGCAGACTACGTCATGAAGAACCCCTTCTATTCTCTTGAAATGCCTATTCGGTGTGATATTTTTGACCGGAAACTGCTTTCGTACATCCGGGAGATCAATAATCGATAGACGGGTATTGGATAGATTTGCGGAGTAATCGGAATCAGCATGTATCGTAATGGCTTTAATCTTGTCGTCTAAACCCCCCTAGCCTGTGTCTATTATACATTTGCTGCAATGTTGACAGAGCTGGACCGTAATCTACTATGAAGTGTCCATCTTGTCTCCGTCGCCTTTCTTTCCGCCCTTATCTTGGTCCTTGCTGCTCGATCCCTGGTTCTCATCTTCCTCCTTGACGTCGCCCAGTGAGGCCTTCTTTGCAGCTTCTTCTTCCTCACGAGCTGCCTTCTCCTGTCGAGCCTTTTCTTCTTCCATACTCATGCGTAGTGCGAGTGCGAGCTCGGGTTCCATTGCAGGGTCGAAACCGAACTCGAATTCATCATTGCTACCGCCTGCGCCTCCAGCTCCGCCAGATCCGCCTGCGTTCTCTCCGAGGAGGATGGGGGTCGAAATGAGTTGGTCGCTAAGAAGCTTGCTGCTAGGAGGAATGACGACCAAGTGGCAGCCTTCGTTGGTCTTGACGGTGTCAATAAAGAGTTGCAGCTTGTTCTTAGTGCTGTCGTCATCGAGATCGCCGAACAGGACAAAGTCGACCGAAATATTGGCTTTCTTCATCTTCTTTGCGAGCGTGGTAAGCTCTTTCTCTGATTCCTCAACGGGGGAGCAGACAAAGACTATTATTCGTTGACGCTGGGATCGGTTCTGGCGATGCTTCAAGGCAAGCTAAAGAGAGGTCAGTACATGATACTGCTATATTCAGCCGTTTTCAAGACTTACGGTAGCTACCTGGATACCCGTCTTCAGATGGGATGAGCCCCCAATCTTCTTCTTCGTCCTGTGAAGGCCCTCGAGGATCTTGCCCTGCTCAGTGGTGAGAGTCACCAGCACTTCAGGTCCTTTGCCTCCCATGCTCATCAACCCAACGGATGATTCAGGGTTTCCTTGTGTGATGGTCTGAAAGGTGATGTTGACAGCGTCGACTTGCGATTCGAATCGAGTAGGTTGATAGTCGCCATTTCTGCTGCTCTCGCTGTTGTCTACGACAACCATAACCGCCTCAAGAACCATATTGGGTGTTGTTGTTGTTGTTGTTCAACAGCTGTGCAAATATCGTATGCAGCTATAGAAGTTTGTGGCAAGTGTGTACGTGGAGAAAGTGTTTGATATTGGTGTTGAGCTTGGTTGATGGTGAGAAGGTCAAGCTCCCAGTGTCGTAACGCAGTTCAGCCTGGCGTGCAGCTCGATGATGCGAAGTAGTGCTACTTGGTTACTGCGGGGATCACTGCGCACGAACGTGTACCTATACCCTCTTTCCACCGCTACCAATTGCTTGCGCCAGAGCAGCTAGTTGGCTTACCTAATGATAGAGACCCACACACTTTGTTTACTTCCCGCCAGCTCCACCTCTAACCAACGCGCTTGGGGTAGACCACTACAACTTCAGATACATTTTCAGCACTTTTTAGCACTTGTCTATAAACACATTCAGCGCTGACAATGACGATGGCTCCAGTAAATTCAAAAAAGCAGCTTGCTGAGTCCCCTCTCAAGAAGACCATGGTTAAACATGTTCCTCTGCACAGTGGGAGCCCTTCGGCGCAACCACGAAGCCCCATCAGAAAGCGAACGCCTGGTGCTATCACGATGCAACAAAAACAGGCTATGATCGATAACATGCAGCTCGAGAGTATGTGGTTGTTGATCTGTCACGAAGTACACCGCTGACGATCTCGTAGTAACAGAACGCGCTCGTCGATTAAGAGCCCAATATAATTACATGGCAACAACAGTTCGCTCCCGTATCGAAATGCGACTCAACCGCGTCCCCATGTCAATGAGAAACATCAAGATGGGAGACTTGCTACAGAAATTCATGGATCAGGAGCAACAACAAGCCGCGAAATCGGCCGCTATACGAAAACAGACAGCAACATGGGCAGCAAGCCCACCAAAGCAGATTCAATCGGCCGCAAATAATTTGAAGCCCGCGCCACGCACAAAGAAGCGCATGAGGTATGCGTAATATGAAACCTTGAATTCGTAAACTAATAAGGATCCAGTGATGCAATCTCAGGAGACAAAGAAAACGAGGTCGAGCATACCGAGACTGCTAAGAAGAGGGCTCGAGCTGCAACAACCACGGACGTGTCACATGCCCGATCAGGACAAATTTTGTCGCCAACATCCTCCAACTCGCGAATGGCAAATCGGCCTCCATCGCCTACTAAGTCTGGTATTGCACGACCAGCTTCACCACTGAAGCGCCCGGCTACAGCTTCTGGTATGCTGTCGAGCATGGTGGAGAAGGCAAAGGCGACGCGAGCTGGCGCTGGCGCTGGACGCAAGATGACGACAAACTCTACCGCAAGCTCAATGTCGACCAACAGCACTGCTGCCACCAGAAATAAGAAAGCAGTACCAGCAACAAGTACTACTTCAAGAGCGCCTACTTCTCGACCAGGTACACGAACAACGCGTAGATCTATTGCCAACAGCGAGTCCAGTGAGTCGAGCAATGGAACCGTGATAAGGAAGGGGCCCGCAGCCAAGAGTGCTCCGGTCAAAAGGGGGACAGCATCGCGTAAGGGGACGACAGGTGCAGTTCGCAAAACCACAGCGAAGAGCAACCCTTCAACTGCAAGCACAGGTACAGGACGAACTTTGCGAAAACGAGCATAGAACGAATATTGATGAAAGATGACACTGGGTCGTAATTGGTATATTGTTTGTCTCGATACATATTATAGGATCATGGGATAGGAGTTCAGGATCGAGGCGCATGGAGGTGCACTGGAATGCTCCATGTTACTTTATGATATTCTTTTGAAACTGTATATGCCCATGAGAAACACAGGAGCGCGAGTGTTTTCAAAAATACACTCTGGAATTTTCAATCATGAATGCCTTTTGGTATCTCCCAAACTTATGAGCCGCCCTTCTTCTTCTTCTTGTCTTCGACAAGTTCAATATGATCCTCGGGGATCTGCTTGTACTTCTCAAGCAGGAACTCTTCCAACTCAACGCTAACATCACCCTGCACAACAATTTCTTCTCCGCCACCGGGGAGCTTAGTCACTGAAGAGCCTGTAGCAAACTTCTTGCCAAGATCTTTGGCGACCTATGGTATGTTCAGTATGGGGTGATCATCTGCTGAGCTAGGAAACACACCTTCTTGAGTTCCAAGTCAAACGATTCGAGTCCTATCACGGCCGTGACAAACTTCTTCTTGTTTCGCTCAATGCGCTTGATAGTGACAACACTCTTGGCTAACAGATCGGCGTGTTTTGCCTCAGCGGCTTCAGCCTTAGCGGTCTTCTTCTGTGCGTCCTTTGCGGCTCGTTTCTGGGCCTCGACGGATAGTGATGCGGTAGCAGCCTCGAGGGCCTCTATACGGCTCAGTGTCAACGCGTATCCACGTCCGGGGTATTTTGGACTTCGTACCTGCGGACCAGATCCTGTTGTAAAGCTCTGGTTCGTTCTTTTCTAGCCATTCCTGGCACTTCTTAACGGTTCCGCCATACTCGCAGTACTACTTGGCCGATTAATCAGTTTATGGAACTCTCTCGACGATGCGTGGATTCGTAAAGGAAGATTCTTACCTCGGGGGGCAGAGTGCAAACTGTGAGCAATGTTGTGTCAGCCATCGGTTCTTGCGCTGCATCATAATCAACCAAAAGTCGTTATAAAAGAACATACCGCCACAATACTTGACAATACGACCCTGGGGCTCGCCCTCAGGTTGCTCAACGTCAGCCATAGAGATCTCAAGCTGTATGCTATAATAGTAAGTGTATACAAAGAGCTTGAAGCAAAAAAAAAAAGGTTATGGATGTATGGAAGCGATACGCGTTTCTCTGCTCGTGCTAGATTGATCTTGCTTAACCTATGGCGGGGTAAATTTCATGGAGGGGCACTTGGGCCTTGTCCCAAGGTGAGCCAAGGTGAGCCGGCCGAGGTGAGTAAGGTGAGTGAGGTAAGGCCAAGTACAGGACCTGGCTCACATAACCTATCTGCGGCGGGGCATGGTTGGGGCCTGAGGCAGCACATGCAATCTTGACGGTCTACCTATCCACAAGTAAACCACAATACAAGACTCATCCATGCAACGCGATGTAACACAGGAGTATTACGCGTTGGTGATAATGTCGATAGGGTTGCATCGAAACTATATGCGCGCTTGCTACCGACGGCATCTCGGCCCCCACAACCAAGAGGGAACGGATGCTTACCGAACCAACATCATGAGCCTCCTGGAGATCGTCGTGAAGTCGACTATGACATACGCCACTTGTATCATTCCCATAAGTTACTTGTTCAATATTGTGAGGGCTTTTGGATCGCAAAATATCAAACAATCACCTCATATCTCGGCGGTTGCCTCATCTCGCAACGTTTGATCGATCAAACCATGGCCTGCCAAGCTGGCCATCCTCATTTCATCTTGAACTATCTACGGCCAGTGATCTGTCCAAACGAGGCTACGCTCATTCAATGACATCCGAGTTGTTCGGAAATCGCTCCTTTCGGCCAGCTCTGTTGCATGACTTGTATCAATCGAGCGACCTCATGGCCTCTTAGTCCATGCGCTCGGGCAGTGCTATCACAAAATGTTTCTGCATTTAAGCAACCCGAGAGACGCAGGCCAAGAGGTAGTTAGCCGCCGAAGAAACAACTTTACGGCTAATTGGCCCTACAGCGGTAATAATGGACCAATAGTCTCTCACGCCTGTAACTGTCATCACAACTTTCGCGCGCGCAACAGGTTCTACCCCTGTCAATCGCTGTCAGCCAAAAATAGAAATCCACGATTATGCTTCCTATTGGCTATTTGGATATATTAGTTGTTCGATAGCGGGGATCAACCGACCTAGTGGCCGGCAATGGATGCTACCTTGATGCAACCTCTTCTCGTCTTGTCTACCGCCAACAAACTTCACTTAGCTCTCGCAGCCTTGTGTGCCAGTCAGGTTCTTCAGCAGGATATTGGCGCTCTCAGGCCCCGCCTCCACCACGCTTCATGAGCGGCACGCTACCATGTCTGTCGACGTATCGGCCCACCTAGACGTGGAGTTGGGATGTGCTACTGCAAGTGCGTGCCGCCCAACTCATTCTAAGCCCACACTTCGGATAGCCGCTCCAGCAAGCATTGGTGATTCTGGACCAGTCCTCGGGCTTTAAGACTATGACAATCCCCCGGCCAGGAGTCTGGCCCCCTTCTTCCGCATTCTCTTCTTTCCGTCTTCAGCCTTCCGTGCTGTGTCACTTCGCAGATCTGCATAGAGGCTTCGTTGATCGAGGCATCCTGTCGTTTTCACACACTTAATACTGACGCCGGTCGTCGACCAAATCTTACTATAACGACTAATACATAGCCTTCTTGTTGCGTTGAGCCCCCGGGCAGGAGTCAGGTATCGGGAATAACTGACAGATACGCAACATGGCTGATACACAAAACCGATACTACCCCCTGGACTCTTCGCTGGCCCGGAAGCACAGGGGGAGACTTAATCCTATAATTGAGGAGGATAGCGATGATGGTATGGTTCAAAATGGAGGTCGCAGGACGAGACGCGCTGGCAATGCCCAACTCAAGATTGAGGCATGGTTAACACCGATGAGCGACCACTTCCCTACACCAAGAGGAATGAACTATCTTTCTGCTCCTATTCTCCCATCATCACCTTCAACCGACTCGGCCGCCGACACTTCACCAACCACCTCCAGCAACCCCTGGAATCGCCATAGTGTCGCCACCGAGGCCACGGAGTTTGAGGATCTCTACGATGTGACTGATGATGAAGAGGATATGCTTAAGCGAAAAGCGTCTGCTAGGTCGAGGCAGGTCCCGACCAAGCAACCAACTCCGCTTGTCATTCCAGCAACACGAGATAACTCTGTTGAGACGTGGTCTGCTGTGGACAACATGAAGAAGTCGATGACTTCTCCAGTCCCTCTGACCCCTTCTGTCAAACTGACCATGTCACCTGCTCAGATGGAGTTCATGCATGAGCAACATGCAGCAGAGACACCAACCATGTCAGCTCCCCCATCCTTGGATGGGAGTTTGACTTCTGAGCAGCTCGCGGCTATGAGCGCCCCGCCCACACCCATAATCGGTAATGAGGATTCAAACACCGAAGATGCTTGGGCTGGCGTTCAACTACAACCCGGCGCTCTTGCTACCCTCCACGCCCTTGCTAGTGGCGAGGAGAACCTTCATGAACAGCCATCCCAAGTTCTTGAGGTACCTGAACAACATTCTGTCCAACCAACTGTTGAGATGCGACAACAACCACTGCGACTCATCACCAGCTTCCAGTCGCAGCCAGCTATCAACAGGGCCTTCTCTCCCAACCCTAACCGTCAGTCTCTTGCAGACTTGACAAAGCTTGATATTCCATCTCCAGGTGGCTTCTTCTCCGGTCTATCTCCCCGAAGCCGAAACACATGGCACATGCCCTCCAAGTCCCCCGAGGACATGCCGCCACCTACGTCCACCACCGCTGAACAGTTCTACCGATGTCCCTGGAACATGGATGCTTCGGTTCCCCCTGTCCCTAAGCGTAAGGAACTCGTCGAGGACTTTTATCGTAGTGTTAGGTTTACACCCGCCCCCACTGGGCCCATCGTTGAGCAAGTCGTTGAGCTCAAGGAGGAGGATGACTTCTCGGACGACATGCCCACTGCTCGACCCGTTTTTGAGCACAAGACTGCTCCCTCTACTGTCGAGTCCGCCAATGCCCCAGCTTCACCTCAGGCTGAGGATGCTCCCACCGAGATTGTGATCGACTACGATCCTGAGTATGCTCGCAAGCAACAAAAGGAGGCTCTCTCCCATTTTGATCGCACTGAGCTTTGGCTCATGGCCCAACGATCTTACCTTCGTGGTGTACAAGATGAGTCAACCGAGGACGATGGTGGGCTCAACACTATCACTGAGGAGGCTGAGGAGGAAATTGAAGCTCCTCAAATTCAAACTGAACTTCCTCCTCTCAAGGTTCAGCCCGAAACTTCCATTGTTCCTGTCAAGAAGAGCGTTCGTTTCTCTAACCTTGTCTCAACTTCTGATCACCCCAAGCGTCTGCCTTCCATGCTCGTCCGCCGCGAATCTGCCTACTATCGGGCATTCCAAGACTATATCATCCGCATCCAGCGCCAGGATGTGTTTGTCCACCAGCTTGCTCGATTTGAGGCTATCCAGGCTCAGCGCGTTTCCCTTAAGGAGTCTCACCGCAACCAGCTTCTCGGCAAGTACCAGCTCAGCGTCGTTCCCCAGTCCGCCAAGAAGAGACTCAGCGCCAATGTTGCTCGTGGCGATGATAACATCATTGACGACCCTGAGAAGCTCCGCCGAGAGAAGGAAGTTGAGGCCATGAACCAGATGACCGTTGCTGCGTGGCATGTTGCCGCCATGAAGATGCTTAACGGCGGTCGCCTCATCTCTGCTCCAGTGACCAAACGATTTGCTCGTCTTTCTCGCGCAGCCCCTGGACATGGCGGCACTACTCGTGAGCGTGCTAGAGTCCTTGACTTGGGCGGGCAGACTACCTGCGACTGGGCGTGGCACTGCGCGCTCCAGTTCCCTAACACTAAGGTCTACACTGTCACCACCAAGTCCATTCGTCAACTTTCCAACTGCAATGTCCGTGGTCCCCCCAACCATCGACAAGTTGCTGTTGAGAAGTTTTCTCGCCTCCCTTTCTCAGACAACCAATTCGATCTCATTTCTGCCCGGGAGCTTCACAGCATCCTCAAGCTTTTTGGTGAGAACGGGGAAGACGAGTGGGACACCTGTCTCAAGGAGTGCATGCGCGTTCTCAAGCCTGGTGGCTATCTTGACTTCTCACTCTTGGATTCAGACATCATCAACGCTGGTCCCGTTGGACTGGCAAAGAGCGTTGAGTTCGGCTTTGCCCTCAAGACTCTTGGTTACGACCCTAACCCTACCAAGCTTTGGCTTGGTCGCCTGGCCCGTGCCGGCTTCCAAGACACTCGCCGCATCTGGATGTGTCTACCCATGGGTGCCAGGCGAAACATGTTCAAGCCTCCTACCCCTCCTTTGAAGGATAGCCCTAATGGCCAGGATGTCAAGACCTGCCAGATGGACGCCATGGTTATGGGAAGCAGTGATGATATTGCTAGCGCTTGCAGCATTGCTGGCGGCTGGAACTGGGAGCGATGGCTCCTTCGCTGTGAGATGGAGAAGGTTGCTGGTGAGCTCCGACTCGCCGATACTACTACTACTGGAACTGCCATGGAGGAGGCTGGCAAGTGTCTGGATGGCGTTGCTGCCGTGTTCGAGGAGGGCCGAAACTGCAAATCCGGCTTCCGAATGCTCAGCGGTTATGCTCAGAAGCCCAAGGCTGGTACTGAGACCATCAAGATTGCTCTCTGTGAGTGATCTGTTAAATATTGAAGATTCTCCTTTGTCAACTCGCACTCGCTCGACACTTTTCATACATAGATGAAGATTTATTTTTTGGGATTGGATATAGGAAGGGACACAATAACTAAGTATGAGAGACGATGTTTGGATGCGTGATGATTTCACGCGTAATGGCGGGTGGTTAGGTTAGTTTGCATGTGCTTGGCGAATGGGGTTTGGATATATCATGCTATGTGCTTACAGATACCATTGTAAATAGTACAGAACATGGTGTTCGGATCCTACTTGACGGAATAAAGGTTTTCTTTTGTATGAAGATTATTTGAACAGGAATAAAAATATCGATAGGACTAAACACAAGTTAATTATACAGCTCGAAACTAAAAACGCAGTGTTACTCATTAAGTTAGGTCAACATTGAAAGTGTATGAGATTGGTTTTACGAGATAACGATATATTAGCCTTGGTCAAGAAGAGATCTCTTGGTCTAACTGCTGGGTAGTTTATATAACAAAATAAAAACGAAGCATAAGCCATTGTATCCTAAACTTGTGTTAAATCTAAGAAATAACTCAAAAAACATATTATTCATGAGTATTTGGCATAGTAAGTAATTGCTTATATTAAATCATGTTTTAAAGAAGCTTTATTAATATGCTGACTACGCCTTTGGCCCAGTTGATGTACTGCTACACTAGTATTATGAATCTTGAATAAGATATCAAAGATCAATTCTCATTAAGCATGTCATATAATGGATGGATGCTGATGAAGTTGTTTGCGGTCGCATACTCTTACTATGATTCAGGGTAGGCCACAATTTCCAATCAACATAGGTACCTAAGCTAAGTACGATGTAGGTAGCGACAGACTGAGTGGTGCAATGCACTTTAAAATAAACCAGATGAAAATGATTACATAGAGTACCTAGCCAGACATAGTGCATGAATAAATAACATTCTATTATCGACAACCATTTTGCTGCCCACTTGTCTATTGCTATTCTGATACACTCTGATTTAGACCACTAAGGCCAGAACAGAAGCAAATGGATGTTGTTCTAGAAAGGGAAAGGCCGGGCAAAAAACGGGGACCCACATTAGCCGACAGCTTCAATCGAGTAGCTTCATGGCCATCATTGACGACTACACGGACGCCTAAAACCATCACCACCAAAGTCGGTCGACATATCACATCGGTTCGATTCGTCCACGCTCGCTCCGAAAATAAACGTTTACAATGTCGAACAACAACTGGCAGGAGGAAGCTATGCGCCGCCTTCGACAGATGCAGCAGGCCCGTGGTGGTGTTGGAGGTGGCCCTCAGATGCCTCGAGCAGCCGGTGGTGCCCTCTTCGGCGGTCTGCTACTCGCTGGTGGTGCTCTATTCCTGTCAAACTCCCTATTCAACGTCGATGGTGGTCACAGAGCCATCAAGTACCAGAGGCTAACTGGTGTGAGCAAGGAGATTTACAATGAAGGTGCGAGAAAACGAACTTCGGAGGATTCGGCCCAGACACTTACTTGGGCAAACAGGAACGCACATCAACATCCCTTGGTTTGAGACACCAATTGTGTACGATGTCCGAGCAAAGCCACGCAATGTTGCGTCTTTGACCGGAACCAAGGATCTGCAGATGGTCAACATCACCTGCCGTGTGCTCTCTCGCCCACAGATTGATGCTCTGCCCCAGATCTACCGTACACTAGGCACCGACTACGACGAGCGCGTGTTGCCGTCTATTGTCAATGAGGTTCTCAAGAGTGTTGTTGCCCAATTCAACGCTAGCCAGCTCATCACGCAGCGAGAGAACGTTGCCAGACTGGTTCGAGAGAACCTTGCTCGACGAGCTGCTCGATTCAACATTCTCCTCGACGACGTATCTCTAACTGTAAGCAAATAATCGCATACTTGAACAAGAGCATTTGACTGACATCCCGCAGCACCTTGCCTTCTCTCCCGAATTCACAGCTGCCGTCGAGGCTAAGCAGGTTGCCCAGCAAGAGGCGCAACGAGCTGCTTTCATCGTCGACAAGGCTCGACAGGAAAAGCAGGCCATGGTTGTCAAGGCGCAGGGTGAGGCTCGCTCTGCTGAACTGATTGGTGAGGCCATCAAGAAGAACAAGGCCTACGTTGAGCTCAAGAAGATCGAGAACGCTCGGCAGATTGCTGCTCAGCTCCAAGAAGCTGGCTCTAAGAACAGACTCATGCTTGACTCTGAGGGCCTGGGCCTCAATGTCTTCGACAGCAATGACAAGAACTGATCGGATGATATGGACGGACGAGCCGTGAACGAGGAGAGGTGCTTATGGATTTAATGAACTCTCCACTGTATGTCTACCGAAAGGGTTGTACTATTAGGAATAATGAGGTAGAAAAAGCCAAACTACCAATTCTGCTCTGCTGCAAACGATTTCATAAAATTTGGCCTCAATTCAAGAACGACAAGAGTGAACCACTACGGGTGCAAACGACGCGAAACAGTAGTTGAGTCTTCAATCTCGGCTCTTGACACATAGACATGAGCAAATAGGTAAGTATTGGATCTTCAATCTTAGCAAGATCGTATTCGCTAAAGCCTCTAACCATCATGAGCTGCAGAACTCACAATAGGTACTAGGTAGGCATATCGTCGAGGTAGGCAACAGCTCCAGTCACTGCAAGGGTCGCCCCTCCCCCTCCGTCAGTGTTAGCCCATAACCCCACCATGAATCAATCTAGCTCAGTCAGCCCAACAGCCGCCAATGCTTTGACCTTCACATCAGCCTCGCATACTTGAAACCTACACGACGCTCTTTTCTTTGCTCTTTGCAAACTCTTGTAAAAGCTCTCGAGAACACAACACCCCGGTTCTTCACTACAGCCGCCAAAATGTTGATCAAGTACGTCACATGCCGGAATTTCGACGTCATGCTGGCAAACATGGGAGCAAACTAACACTGCGACAACTAGGGTCCGCACATTGACCGGCAAGGAGATCGAGCTGGATATTGAGTCGGACTACAAGGTAAATCTCGAAAGGCGGCAGACAATAGAAGTGGAGAGATCTCAGCTGACCGCTTGCAGGTCTCCCAGATCAAGGAAAAGGTCGAGGAGAAGGAGGGTATCCCGCCCGTTCAACAGCGACTTATCCATGGCGGCAAGCAAATGTACGTTCCCATACGAACTCTTGAACGAACAGCATGTCTTTCAGTATACTAACGCACCCTGTCTAGGACCGACGACAAGACCGCTGCCGAATACAACCTCTCCGCCGGTGACACTCTCCATCTCGTTCTCGCCCTTAGAGGAGGACGATGGATGGCATAAATACATCGAACGAATATTTGAGCGAACATAGTGGACCTCATCCCGACTTAACGAGTTCGCCGCTCGACAACCGAGGATGACGAGGGATGATTATACTAGGTGGAATGACTGAGCACAGTACAAGAGCTGTTGGACCCACGGGATCATGATGTCGAGTCAGCTGGAGCAGTCATGCGCGAACACTGCTGCTAGTATCAAACACTTTCAGGAGACACGGTGATAATACCAAAAGATACGATAAAGTTATTCTCATTGAAGCATCCCGTTTTAATAAGCCTGGCTATGCTCATATTTCGCTTGCCGTCTTATTGCTATCATACACATCACAAATTGGTATATGCGCCAACCTCGTTATTCCATTCCATTCTTAATCTAATTACACGATTTATGGACTATTAGTCCGTTATCATTGTTGCCACTCGCTTATCGCCGTTTGGTTCCCTTGCTATGGCTCGTCATACACTGTACTCCTGTAATGCAATGGGGTTGGAAATTGCCCCTCAAATAACCCTCCCGACAAACCGTGTCAAACATATATATATATAAAAGAATTGTTTGTTTAGATCTCAAGCTCTTTTCTTAGGCTTCATGAAGACATCCGTAGCCTTGCGCTTGCGTGGTCCGATGCCCAGATTAGGTCGCGTATTTGTGAGACGTGTAGGTGAAGACTGTTCGGCTGGCTCGGGAGAAAGAGATGTTTGTTTCTGTTGAGGGGTAGGAGATAGCGACTTTCCAGCTGAAGGGGTCACTCTGGGCCGTGAAGATGTTGTAGTTTGAGGCTTAGGACCTTTATAGCTGTTGGATAGAAGACCAGTGCGTTTGACCTTGCTTGTAGAGTCGCTGTGGCCAGCAGCAGGCTTCTTCAGAGGAGACAAAGATACCTGAGACGAAGCCTTTCGACGGGGTACCGGCTGTTCATCGTCAAACAGATCATCCCCATCGTCAGAATCAGAGTCCGAGATGTATTGCGCCCGTGCCTCATGGGTTTCAACTACATCAGAGACTGTTGGCTTCGGTGGAGGAGGGGGCGGAGGTCGGATTGCTGGCTTGGCGGCTCTCTGATAGTCGTTCACCATAGCTGCAGGCGCCTTGCGGAGTTTTGTGATAGCATTTGATGCTTGTGTTGGCCTTGACAATGCGCCGTGGATACTGGCAATCTCCTTCGTCTCTCGTCGTACTTTGCGCATGACGCTTGCACCATTGTGAGTCTTGGTACGGCTTCCCCTGTTGAAAGCGAGCGTGCTGCCATTGGGGTCTCGCGCACCAAATCCCCAAGCCTTCTTTGGACCGACTCTGCCTCCTCGGGGCAGAAGTCTTCTGTCATCGACAATCTTGCTGGTGTTCTTCTCCTTGTCCTCCTTGAGTCCCATGAGAGCATTCTTAAGCTTCGCCTCACTTTCCAAGAGGGCCTTCTGGTGATCTGATTTGTATTTCTCATAGACGCGATACCATTTAGTTGGGTTTGGTGGTTTATATGCCTTTTGCTTGACTTCCATAGGAAACTCATGCTTGATAAGCTTCAGCCATACCTCACCTGTCTCGCCCTGGATTTGAGGCGAGTTCAGTTCGATAGTTCGTAGTTGTTTCGCGTTATCGATCTTGAGGAGAAGGAGGCGGACGGCTTTATAAGGAAGATAGTCGCCAACACTGTCGAGTTCGCGGATGTTTTTGATGCATGCCGCAGTGGCAAGTTCCAACAGAGACTTGGGTGGCATCTTGAAGCTCGGGGTAACGTGTCGAAAGTTCGTTCATGCGTTTCGTAAGTTTATGCGATCGTTATGGTGTTTATATGGGGAGATATGCGGAGTGTTCCGTGATAATTGTAGCGACGCCTGAATAGCAGTGGTACAGTTGAGGAGTAAGACGGATTAAGGCAGGGTTATATAAGGTAAGGTGGGCGGCACAGTGGAAGAAAGAAGAGTGATTAAGTGTTGAGCCCCTTGGAAAGGCAGCCAAGCATTGCTATAAAGAAAGCGACAGCATCGTAAATGTGTGATGTTCCGAGAGAGTTGAGATCTTGAAAGGGTACTCGAATGTCAAGGGAACCCTTTGTAGTATAAGGTAAGTAGGGTCTGAGCCACGACGTAGTTGTCAGGGATGTGATAGGTGAGGAATCCGTCGGCAGCTGGGGGATATAGGCTTTGCCTCATCGGATTAGCGTGAAAGTAGGCTGGCCGATCCGCAAGACACTGGCACAAAGAACATAGAACTTACTATTAATTGGAGTGTGCCTGTCATTAGATTAAATTCCATTCGCGGCTGCTATTCCTATGCACACAACGAGTAACTAACGGCAGCTTTCAGTTGTAGGCTTTACTGTGCGAGCTGATGGATAAAATACATACTAACAAAGGCGATTCTGTCCCATGATCCAATCAGAGCTCCACACCCTTATACCAATACCGTGTACCTACCTGCATTTTGGTACTGTACTAAGCATGAGAAAGGCTCACCATGAGCGTGCCTGGGTCTCCACTCAAAGACATCATTCACGAGCTGATAGCCATTCCCTGGGGCGCGCGAATCAACAAAGCGCATACAAAGTTCCTCTTCCCTATACAGAGGAATCCTAAACCTTGGATAAACTTACATATCCTAAACATTTCTCGCCCAGCATCTACCTAAGGTCCCCCGAGTTGTTGCATCTCCAAGTATTCCTCGTCCTGCACAACTTCGATCAGCATCATGGCCGATTCCTTCATCAAGCAGGAGCCCTTCATCAAACCCGATCCTGAGGCGTCTGGTTCTCCTGCGCAAGTCGACGAAGAAGATCTGTATGAAGATGCCGGCGACCTCGAATTCTACGAAAAAAACGCTGGCGCTTTCGAGCAACTCTACCTCGCGCGCGTTCCTCGATACATGTGGGAAGCTTGGTCTAAATTGACGGAGCGACTCGGCGACGACGACGAGATTCAAATTGGCACTCTGCGAACATGGAATGAACAAAAGCCGGATGGCAGCCTAGACGTATGCATACCTGATAAGACGTCATGGCACCATACTGACATGCATAGACCAAACTTCGCATGCTTCTCTCCGCCAACTGCCCAGAGCATCAGGTGCTGCCTCGCGAATATGACCTAGTGGTCCAAGAACACAACGTTAGCAACCACTTCATTTTCAGCGAGGAGGATTTGCCCGGTTTCAAGGCGCGAAGCAAGGCACGACAAGAGGCTGCTGATGCTGGCATCCCTGCCTCATTGTTGAGGCAGAAACAAGGCAACAGCAACGGACCAGAACGTCCGAGCTACGACCGTAGGAGCCGATATCAACCATACTATCGAAAAGCTGTCCCGAGTAAGCTTGTTTTCGCATAGCCGTGCCACGAATAAGTGCTAACACAGCATCCCAGAAAAGACAAAGATCTTTGGCAAGATTCACTATGATGTTCGTGTTGAACCCCACGGCAAAGATGAGGAAGAGCGGGTGCTTCAGCAGAAGATTCTGGATGCAGAGGCGAACAAATCCAAGGTCCAAATCATCAGTCGACACGCAGCTTCGGCCGTAGTGAACCCTGGAACTACCCGCGCAGCCGAATTTGGAGACAGCTTCATCGTACGTTTTGTTCCCGTACAGTCTTTCATTCTCGGTTATGTTAACAAACGTCCCAGAAAAATATTGCTGCCACAGCCAAGCCAAAGAAGGGCGAGGTGTTCAAGGCAGCTCGTATTCCAGAGAACCAGCTTCTGGATCTCATCTTCGAGTGTTTCCGCCAGTATCAGTATTGGTCAGTGAAGGCTTTGCGACAAAAGCTTCAACAGCCCGAACAATACCTTCGACAGGTGCTCGAGAAGATTGCTGTTCTCAACAAGAGTGGCCGGTTTGCCAACCAGTATTGCCTGAGCGATGCCTACCGCGACAAGGGTGGCGCAGAGGCCCAGGAGGCTGCTGCTGAACCTGTTGATGACGACGAGGACGATGCGGAGATGGAGGATGTGTTGCCCGTCTCCTAGTATCAGCATCGACGGACCTCTTAGAAGAGGACAAAAAGGGGCAAGATTTCACTTGAAGGATAACGAACGGAGGATATCATTTAATGTGGTGTTCGAAGGATCCAGGGTAGGGTTTTTAGAGCGGCGATACCCTTCTAGTCTTATAGATTACCAGTTGTAGTCAACCATCTAGCGAAATGCTTTGAAAGCTGTGATTCGCTCGTCAACTGAAACCATCTTTATTTTATCCGGTCTGAGATCGAACTTGGACTCTAGAATTCTTGGCTGGGCTACTCTCGCACTTGGTTATCATGATCCACTCACTATTGTTCTAGATCACAACTACCTACGTAATAACTTCCCCGCAGTAACCAATGCACTCTAAACTGGTCGGAGGCGCTTTCCGATTGTTATAAGACTGGATCAGCTGCTGTCCAAGAGCTGGAATCACCTGCTTTGCTTAGATGTATGCATTCATATACACTCTTCTCCTCTTAATCACCCGAACAACCCCGCTTATAACCAAAGCTCGAGACAACATTTACTATCCGACCTGTCCCAAGATGCATCTGGTATTCGACTTTGACGGCACAATCACCCAAGAAGATTCTATCGGGGAGCTTGCTCGCTCAGCTCTCGAGATACAGAGGAATAAATATGGCCATGACCTCCAGACTTCTTGGGACCAAGTGGTGCAATCCTATGTTGCCGATTACAGACACTACAAAGACAACCATCCATCACCAGAGGTTACTCGAACATCTGTGGATCATGAGATAGAGTTCCTATCAGGAATGAAAGACGTGGAAGAGACATCTCTACGACGCATTGCTGACTCACGCATCTTTGCTGGTCTAGACGCTGAGACGTTGTCGCAAGCTGGTGCTGACGCTGTTGAGGCCGGCAGAATTAAGATCAGAGATGGATTTACGGATCTTATAACCCTCGCAAGACAGAGAGGCTGGAATGTGAGTGTCATATCGGTCAATTGGTCCCGGGCCTTTCTAAGAGGAGCTCTTTTACCGCATAAAATTGAGGTTATTGCCAACGAGCCGGCCTCAGACGGAACAATAAAAGGACCAGAGTTTTTCGAGGGGAGAATGACCAATGTATGTGAGAAGAAGAAAGCTTTGAAACATATCATCAACGAGAAGGATGGGAAGGTGGTTTATTTTGGGGACTCGACCACGGATATGCAGTGTCTGCTTACAGGAGGAGTAGTCATATCGGACAACGAGGAGTCTTCCTTGCTAAAGACTCTGAGAAGGGTCAGCATTGAAGTGCCACATGTTGGAGAGAAGAGAAATGGTAAAATATCCTGGGCGAGGAACTTTCGAGAAGTACTGGATAGTGGCGTGTTAGAAGCATGAGGCTTAGTAAAAAGTTTCCGGTTTCTGAAAGAGCCCTACATATCTTTTTTGTTGATGTTAATAGCATCTGGATGTACATGGTTTTCTCAACATCAAAGCGTTTAACAAAGCGTGCATGCACTGAACACAAGACTTGTGATGACAACCCTGGGGACTCACGGACGCTTGCCGAATTAAGTACCTTTTAATATATTTGCGTTTCCTGGTCCATGTAATATTCACATCAGATGAAATCACTGAATGCTTTGAAAGGAATTTAAGTAAAGCTGGTCCGCCACACATGATCTGTTGTGTTGTTCTGGAATTGCTTGTTCATGCATGTCACTTGTCACAATGAATCAACAAACCAAGCTTTGATGGACATAAGAACAATTCACTCTTCCGATACAGATATAAAAGCGATAAAATGCTCGATTTTTGTCAAATTTCCTCTCCTAGATCAGGGGTCCCCCACCACCACCTCCAAACTCTTGCCCAAAAAGATTATCAGTATGTGCGTCTACGGTCGAGTCGTTTTTAAATGCGCCCACGAGCGCTGGGGCATCTGCGTGAAGCGATGCCAAACAGCCAAAGACTTCCGCGACGGAAAGTTAAATCATGACTGTGTCATAAAGAAACCTCATGTACCCACTTCGCGGAGGATACAGACGGATTGCAATAAATGTATCACGATGGATGGCAAACTCGACAGGGCAAAGAAGAGCATTGACGACGTTAAACGAAAGCTGAAGAGAATAGAAGAGAGGAAGATCAGGGAAAGAAATACGGAAGAAAAGAAGATCGACAACAGGAAGAAAGTGGGGAGGAAGGATGAAAATAGGGATAGTAATGAAGCGAACTCTTGGAGTCTTGGGACGGGACTTGGGAGTATTACCGAGGAGAGTGAAGTTGAGGATGAGTCTGCAAGTGATGGAAGTAGCCAAGGCAGTTCACAAATCTTCAACACTGAAAGAAGTATATAAAACAGTAAAGCCGAATCATCAACTGTCAGAATATATAGAGAAGCCCATCAATATCTTAATCAAATGCCTGCAACTCGTCTGACTTCCCTCAACTTTTCAGATACACGACTATTAATAAACCCCCGATTATTTGCACCCATTCACTTATGATTTTATATACGTATAACCTAGAGCTTTACAACCGAATCTACTATGCCAGCTTTCTCGTAGTCTATATCCTTGTAACTCTACCTCTTGCCATCTTGTCTGAGTGCTGACGTATTGTTTGTCAACCAACCTATTCAATAATTGCTTCATACAGCCGTCATTGCTAAAACCGCCAATAGTCAGAGTTCGTACAAGTGAACATCTGATATGTTGGGCAGCAAGACTGAAAGATTTCTTACCGGAAATGGCTACGAGTGCGAAGAATGAGTCCCGTGATGTTGGATGCATGTCACTCTATCCGAACCTGCGCCTCAATCTTTACGCCCGAGATAAACCCAGAATGGCAGCTCGCTAATATCAGGCTCTCAAAACAGGAACCAATCCGGCTTTGTCTCTTGCCCCCGGATCTAAGCCACCTCCGATCCGCTCCGTGCGGGTCCGCCCCGGAGACTCAACCGCCGTCTTATTCGCCGATCCGAAGCCGGTCAACTGGCCTATCAACCGTTTCCTACTTAAACGAAAACATGCAGCGAGGCTGAGGGGATCTATCCCAGCCCTCGAAGTGGTCCCATGACGGAGTTATGCGTTGCCCGAAACCCTCCATGGAGAGTCGGGCTCTCAACGAGCAAGGCACCCTTGTTTGGGGGCTGAAGAGCGATGTCTTGGCAGTCAGCGTTCAGGACAATTCGACAATTCATAAACAAGCTTGATCCGCCGCTGGACGCTTAATAACATTGCGTGCATTGCACAGGGGCCAAAGACCAGCTATATTCTTCTCGCTTACGAAGTGCATTCAGTAACTCCCCACCAACACTATCAACTCAGTCTCAACAACTTCAGATTCTCATGAATCCAGAGTTCTCCACCCCATTCATTAGGGTGGCCGTTCTTCTCAAGTTCCGCAGGATCACGCTCTCGGTCTCCGGAGGAGGCGCAAAACCGCCTTAATGGGGCTGGTACACCACGGCCTAGACCTGTTCAACTACGATCAGAAAACCTGCTCTAACCAAGTTTTGATCACTGCAAAAGATACTCCGTCTAACATTGAATATGACGAGTATGTTGTCTACAAGCGGTCAGAGGAGCCTGGAGCTCCATCCACAAAGCGAGATCCCTGGGTGGATGATGACGACCACATCACCCACCACTTTACTCGCGATGATGCCTCGGGAACAGCTCTTTTTGACCTAGCCTTTCGGCGTGGGCATATGCTTGATCGTGAAGTCAGTACAATCCATTGAACAGAGAGCGGTGAACTAACTGTCTGAAGGGCAGTTTTCGAAAACCAGACGATGATGAAGCACCATCAGCCGGCATGGAAGGCCGAATACGCCGAGTGTAAGTTTCAACAGTTGATACACAAGATCTCTTGGCTAACTGAACACAGAATCTGTTTCAAGCGTAAAACTATTTACGACGGTGGTCGAGACATTCTCAGCATGACGGTTGGTGACCTGGCTGCCATGAACCTTCATCCTGCCACGCTGCAATACTCAACTCGAACTACCACAGAATCTAGATTTTGGTCAAAAGACAAATCTCAGCTGAGTAAGTTCCTTCAATGCCACACATAACTTTCCCTAATAATGTAGGTATTATTCTCGCATTCTCAGAGATGCCAAAGACGCCCTGTGACTTTCTGTCCATGACATATGATGTCCGCGAACGCTCCGCGACCATCCTTGTCCGACAGTCATGGGAGCCAAGACGACACAACCTCGATGACCTCGACGAATATGATCATCGTCTGGAGTCATGCAGAAATCATTGGGCGCACCCTCTCATCATGCCCGTCGTGCTTCTCCAAGTGCAATTCATGCGGTGTGAAGAGGCTGTTATCGAGAACAACTCCAACGTGGCTCATTTGGAATACGATGTCAGCAACATTGCCGGCTTTGATGCTACAGAGACTGGGAGACGTCTCAGTCGCACATTCAGCAATGGAAAAGATGGCGAGAGAATTGCCTGGGGCCCAAGCACCATGACCAAACTCATGAAAAGGGCACACGAAGTTCTCAAGGACACCATTAAACTGCTGGATACTATTCGTTGGATGGAGAGAGCCATCAAAGTGTTGATCCTGGCCGGAGACGAGTTGAATGAACGAATGGGAAGCTATTCTAACTTCGGCAACGATCTCAGTATGTTGAGTCCCACGGTAATCGACCCTCTCGGGGGACCTCCTGCAGTGAGCCCAGTTCTGCCTCCCAGAGATCTCCCTAGGCTTCGATTTCCCGATGAAGTGACGGATGGTGATTCTTTGGGACCCCATTGGCATGAGATCAGGCAGTATCTTGATGGTTTATTGCGTCTTTGCATGGGTCTTGAGACGGATAGACGCATGTCGGAGGCCAGATGCCGTGCTCAGATCGATATGGTAAGTGGTACAAAGTCGAAAGACAGAACACCAACTAAAAGCAGTAGATCTACAGTAAGATGGCCCAAGAAGACAATATCCTGAACGCCCGAATGGCCGTAGCATCATCACGCGACAGTTCCTCCATGAAAGCTCTCGCCGTGATAACCGCCATCTTTCTACCCGGCGAATTTCTTGGAACTCTCTTCGGCATGTCCATGTTTGACTGGCTCGGCCCAGATGAAGAAGACAACGATTCCTCGGGCCCTATGACCGACCAAGTCAAGGTAAACCGCTTTGGAGAGAACTTTTGGTACTATTGGGCGACCGTGATTCCACTCACTCTTCTGATTTTGTTCGTCTGGCGAGCCTGGTGGGTGACCCAAGATCGATATTTCAGACGCCATCTCTCGCAAGAACTCAGCGAGGAGCGTTTCTGGACCGCAGATGGAAAGCCGCGCAAGCTAGAACGAAGTTTCATTTGGGATTTCTTCTACCTTTCCGCGAGGCGTGATGAGAAGCCACGGCCTGAAGATGACTTGGCTGAGCTGGAGACTATCCATTCCGGGGCGAAGGAAGGGTATGATGGGGGATTGACTGGGGCTACCAACATGAGGCAGAGGCAGATTTTGGAGACGAGGAAATGGAGTCTTCATCAGAGAGGGACGAACGTCACGGTTTAGATACAGACAAGGAGCGAATCGCCTTCGAGCCTTCTATGGGTACGGCATTGTTACTGTTGAGTATATTTAAGTTTGAGAGATGTTGTGTATGATTTAACTATATTACATGTAGTATCTAACAATTGGGCAAAGAATGTCACAAGTATTATTTTCGAAAGACAGCTTACAGTATAGGTCAGCCCATATATCCCGGAACATAATAATACACAACCATAATCTTCCAAGTCCAACCACTGGTGTAAAAGTTTCAGATATCAAGTAAGCCATGATGAAGTACCATCATTGATAGAAAATCATAGGATTCAATAATAGTTGGCTACATCCCAGCTCTACGTACTAAAGGTCGCAAGTGTAGGAAGCCGTCATCTTGTGTCAATACATTCGTCCATGCGGCGATTCATAACTAAGCTAGGCTACAGGGCGCCAATTCAAGTTATTTCGTGCCGGGTTTATGGGTTATAGGCTCATGCTATAGTGAGCGAGTTGCGTTTGATGCCTCTGGTTGACAAGAGGTTGGTCAAAGCGATATGCTAACGAGGTGTCGGGGATCCGGAGAATATAACCATGTCTCAGATCAGAAATAAACTGCAGAATTTTCTATGCAAACGGGGCCACCGAGAGCTTACGAATCGAGTTTGTCAATGACTGGAATGAAAGTCGTAAATTGGAACGCCATGCGAGGGTATGGCGATGGCTTCACTAGTTTAGTCTTAGGGTCAGCCATCTACAATCACGAAATTTAGTCATGAGCTCTGCCGTAAAGAGTATGAATCAGGAACAACGAAGAGAGAAAAAACTGTTTATTTCAAATCACCAAAGCTTGGACGTTGTGCAGGCTGATCTAGAGAGCACACGTTGAACCGATTTATCCGTTATTCATGAGTCCAGAATGAATATCGGCGACGCCTTTACTAACGTTCATCTCCTGGATCATGATCTAGACCCTTGATACTAGGGCAGTTTATTTTGTCTTAATTTCTTTGGTTTGAAGTGAAGACAATTTTGAGGAGTTGCAGTTGTGAGATTGTTGGAGGGGTCTTTGCTCCCTTCAAATGCGGGAGCGCAAGGGTAAGACGAGACATTGCCGGGAGCGACGTCTTGTCTTTGCATATCCTTACGGTACAATAAAGGGTTGTTTTAGTATGATTCAGGGAGTTCTTAATTGATGTTTTTCCCTTAGTTGATTTGATATATAGACAATATTCAAATCTTGCACGGCAATGAAGGGACCCCCAGAAACGATCACTTTGAGATACACCCACTTTCAAACAATCACTTGTGCTTAATTAGGAAGGGAGGGACCAAAACGCGCCAGGAACAGAAAGGAAGGTACATACAAAGATCGATCAAACGGAAGGAGGCTTACGCAGGAACAACTATCAGATCCCGACGCCATTCGGTACCGAGGGAAACCCTACCTTAACCCTTCATCATCATGACCCACTCACAACCACATCATGAGCTTCACGCCCACAGCCTCTTTTTCAAGCCTCCCAAACTCTACCTGGCTCTATTGTGCCGCCTTTTCAATACAAAAGATGCCAACTTACAAAGATTGACAGCCACGACCATGTCTTGAACTCCGACCATTTCCCTTAGCGCCATGAACCACTGGTTCCAGACACTAAGCGCATTCCTAATCGAGGTCCCAAGACATACCAGGTCCACGTTTTAGGGGCTTGTGGCGCTCGATAAGCTCGAATGATCTGCTTGTCATGTCTCATCCGGCGTCAGGGCATTCCTAGTCGAGAACGGCATCGTCTCGACTGGAGCCCAGCGTTGCTTTCCGTAGCATCCTTGGAGGCTTCTTTAGACCAACACGCGGCCAAGCTACGCTTTCGTCGTGATGCTATACTCTTTCAAGGTCGCCTACCTCCCTCATGCCTCCATTGATCAAGTGGCGTCTCTTCATTACGTCCAATGTAATAAATTTGCCCCGATTCCCTGGCCTCAAGTCCTTGGCCCCTCTTCTCTCCCAGTTGATCTCACCCTTAAGCCATTCCTTTTTCATCGCTACTCAACCCACGTCATTCGTTCCTTGACTTCATCTCATTCTTTAAAGTATAGTGCTTCATAGACTACTCTCCGGTTCCGTCACCCTAGTCCTTGTCTCATAACCAGCCCGGCTTCAGCATCTTGTCTCAGCTTCAACTCCCTCA